CAAATATATCGCTTACTTGGAGGTCCTGCAGCTGGCTTCCGTCCAAGACATGAACAGAGGATGTGCTGATAGATTGTTGCAGCGTCCTAAACAACTGAATAGCCTCTCTCGACTCTTCGAGTGTCCGTGAAATATCGTTTGCCTCGGCTAACCGACTTTCAGTAGAATTTGTCGCCTGAGTAGGTGTTGTTGTTGTTGTTGCAGACCAGGACTTCTGTGCTCCAGACGGTTCTGCCACGGTCGCCGCAGCCGCTGCTGATGCATAGCTAGTTTGCCCGGAGGACCTGCCCACCGTTGCCTGCAACAACGAACAGGAAAATGGGCCTAAACTTTATCATCTGCAAAGCGCGCAAAACAGTTTATTTCAGTACATTCTGACACAGAGCGCACCGTAAGCCAAACAGAGGGAATAACTTGAACACCCTCTGGTGTCATTCAGGATCTTGTCTGTTTGACAACATCGAGGAGGTTAACGGTTCGAGTAAGGATTTATGTGAGTACAATTGTTTCCTCAAATCACCCATCAGCCGGTGAGGTTGGTTGAGAAACGTGGTTAATCTACTTTCGATAATTTTCTTATTCAGACAAGTGCACTTTCTTAAGACTAAGCAATCTATTAACAGAGCTACGTGTGTAGGACGTGAGACGATTCAGTCCAGCTTATAAAGTTAACTTGGAGTATATATTTCTATGATGAGCAAAGTTATGGAGAGATTCATCGGTCGTCCTGTGAACGTAGATATCTAAGAATTGGAGTTGTTCATCAACTGAGAAAGTAGAGTTGAGGTTTCTGTGGAGTAATTATGGTTGGACTCTTTTCACCATAAAAAATATGTCGTCTATTTAACGCAGACACAATGTCGAATTAACTGACGGAAGAGGTTTAGCTTCTGATTACCTCATTTCACATTCCGCCAAAAAGTCAGCTATTTCTGACCATACACCGACGCCTTTTATCTGCCGATAGAATTCCTAAGCAAGGAAAAAAAATTATTTCTAGGGTAAGATCGAGGACTTTAGGGAGGTGCACACAGGTAAATTGGTAGCGTAGGCCTGCAGGAGTTCCGCAGTAAAGGTCTTCTCTGGGTCTACAGAACTATAAGCGAATAGATAAATAACGTTGAATATTTTCTATCCTTATTCGGTCTATGAAATAGCCACTTGGAAATATTGGAGAGCATCGGTCGCAGCAGAATGCCAATCTGCAATAATTTTCATGGAAGGAAACATAATTCCAAGAGGGTAATGAAAGGTTTTGTGACCCCACTGGGTTCAGTATGCATACCCACCTGCTATGATTATTTAACTTTCCTTTGCCTTATTTTGTTTATCTCATAGTTGCGAAAAAGCAATCCTTTTTGCGTTTCAGCTCTCCTGCCATGTCTAAACGGTTGCTGTTATCGAACGCGTACGCTGTGAATTAAGTACTTTTTTAAAAAGCTAGATAAATCGTTCTGTGTCTTTTCTGTAAACCAAGTACTTTCTAGGATTCTTTGAAGTTAACGGGCACTCGGGTCTCGTGGGCAGTTTCGCATCCACGGTAGGCTTAACCGAAACATCACGAACCTTTCGCCGGGGAGCACTGCTTAGGTCAGAAAAAGCTGAGAGAGTACAGAGCGTCAATCGATAGACCAGCGCGGGCACCAGATTCGCCAGACCCTGATACACTTGCGACTGCATTATGTAGTTGTGACGAAAAGTGCGTCCACGAACGCTGCCTTTAACTATAGATTTCCCTATTTCCGCTGCTTCAAAGACTTCAAATTCGAGCCGGATCCTTCTATTCACTGGGTAGCGAGCTTTCCTACCAAATAGTACTACCACCAACAACAGTCCAACCATTCATAACTTCTCAAAAGACCTATTCTTAAATCGTTTCATTCAGCGTATCGCGACAGCCTCATGCTTATGACCGTCACCATTAAAGACACGCAGATTAGATTAAAAATTGATAGATTAATAAATTAAAAATTAATAACCTCTTGCTCCTTCTCCTGATAGTACATCCTGCCAAGGGACTGAAACTGCTGGATAGCATCTCGAATTTTGCCGATGAGTTGAAGCAGCTCATCAAGCGTGGTCTGTTCTTCCGAATTTTGGTCCATACTTTCCCCGAGAAGTTGAATGTCGTTTCTCAGGTTCTTTTCATGTCCCTCAAGTCGGGCGGCAACGTTCTAAAAAAGTAGATAAGAGTTTGTCAGGAGAAACTGAAGATTATTATTGAAAAGTTTGAACAATGCGTCATTTTGCACCCTTTGCTTTCCACATCAAATGTGTGCCAAAATTACTTCCTTTTCAGTGGAAACAGGTTAGCCTAGCTCGTGGCAAAAAAACTGTAGTTGTGCTCGTATGGGTTCTATTGCAATAACGACTGAACGATAAGTTACTCGGTTGCAATTGATTCTAAGCCAAATATCACATCCCTACAACCTGGACTAAGACTGCAAAGAAAGCCGAAATGGTCGATCGATTCTGTGGCAGTCTGTGTAAGGCACATAAACTTTATACAAACCAGGCACCTAAATGGACGCAAGTCAGACTGAAAAATTGTCTGTAGAATAGGAAGTAGTATTTTCTATGCTGGAATGCCAGTCATGGCAAACACGCCATCAACACGAAGCTATGAATGCCTGGGCATTACTACGCAAAGTGAGTTACAAGGTTTCTGATTAACGGATGCATGGGTGTGAGCTGATCTGCGTAAAGTCATTCGAATTCGAAAGCTCGTGATACAACAGAGGTGTCTATATTAAAGTATATTCACCCAAGAGGTCCGTTGCGGCTACGGCTACCAGATGCTTGCATCATTACTGTAATCGCAAAATCGGTCATCCAGAAGTGTACATGTGCACGATCATCGTCTGCAATAGCAAATTCTTACCTGCAACTGTATACGCTTAGTAGAATCTGACGG